CTTGGGCCCAGGAGGTGGAGACCAGCCCGGCCAACATACCATGAACCCTGTTTACAAAAATTAAAAAATTAGCTGGGTGTGGTGGCATGCACCTGTGGTCCCAGGTACTCGGGACGCTGAGCAGGAGGATCGCTTCAGCCTGGGAGGTTGAGGCTGCAGTGAGCTATGATTGTGCCACTGCACTCCAGGCTGGGCAACAGAGGGAGACCCTGTCTGAAAAACAAAACAAAACTCCTGACCTGAAATGATCCTCCATTTTAACACACAAAGGGAGCTGTGAAACTTGGGAAGTTTAAGAAGAAGTGACTGGGCAGGGCACGGTGGCTCATGCCTTTAATCCCAGAAGTTTGGGAGGCTGAGGCGGGTAGGTCAGAAGCTTAAGACCAGCCTGGCCATGATGGTGAAACCCCGTCTCTATTAAAAATAAAATAAAATTAAAAAAAAAAAAAACCGGCCGGGCGCGGTGGCTCAAGCCTGTAATCCCAGCACTTTGGGAGGCCGAGGCGGGTGGATCACGAGGTCAAGAGATCGAGACCATCCTGGTCAACATAGTGAAACCCCGTCTCTACTAAAACTACAAAAAATTAGCTGGGCATGGTGGCGCGTCCCTGTAATCCCAGCTACTCAGGAGGCTGAGGCAGGAGAATTGCCTGAACCCAGGAGGCGGAGGTTGCGGTGAGCCGAGATCGCGCCATTGCACTCCAGCCTGGGTAACAAGAGTGAAACTCCGTCTCAAAATAAATAAATAAATAAATAAAAATAAAATAAAAAGAAAGGAAAAAGTTTGCTGAATGCTTGAATGCAAATATGAGGGAGGAGAGAGGCCCTTTTCTCTGGGAAGAGGCTGAAGGTGTGGAGTTATTCAAAATGAGGCTTCCCAGGGGGCATACCATTCAGAACACCTTACCAGGCACAGTGGCTCACGACTGTAATCCCAGCATTTTGGGAGGTCCGGGTGGGAGGCTGTCTTGAGGCCAGGCATTCCAGACAAGCCTGGGCAATGTAGCAAGGCCCCCTGTCTAAAAAAAAGTTAAGAAATTAGCCAGGCATGGTTGCTTGTGCCTATAGTCCTAGCTACTCAGGAGGCTGAAGCCGGAGTCTGAGGCTGCAGTGAGCTATGATTGTGCCACTGAACTCCAGGCTGGGCAAGAGAGCAAAACTGTTTCAAAAAGAAAAGAAAAGGCCCAAAGCCATTTCCTAGGTGGTAGACTGAGGCCAGAAAGGGCCTCTCTGCTCTGTGGGACCCATATTCCCCACTGCTCCATCCAGCCTCCTCTGGCCTCTCTCACCCGCTTCCTGGAGCCCCAGGCCTTTTTTTTTTTCCCCCAATGATGAAATCAGAATCTCGGTAGGAGGTTGGCCCAGTGGGAAGAAAGCCAGCTGAGACCAGCTGGTATATTTTCCTCTCTAAAAAGGCGGAGGGCAGGCGGGGAGACACTCCAGCCAGCATGGTCCAAACCCTCAAATAGTTCCCTCTTGTCTTGGACCCACCCCAATTTCCCTGAAGGGTCTAGGATTCTGGAGCCTCCTTCCTCCAAATTCCCGTCTGGCACCTCTAGCCTTGGAGTGGGTGAGCCTGGCCTGGGCCACTTCTCCAAACCCCAGGATGCTGATTACCTGGAAGGCTGCCAGAGCTTCCCACCGCAACGCGGTCACCAGCTGCTGGGTCCCTCAGGGGCCTCTCAGGTCCCCCTTTGCCCAGTTGTCCTTAGGTCCTGAACACTCCAGGGGAAGAGCTCCCAGCTTATGAATCTGTGCCCAAGGTTACACACTGGAAGAGTTTTCTTTTTTTTTTTTTTTTTTGAGACGGACTTTCACTCTTATTACCCAGTCTGGAGTGCAATGGCACGATCTCGGCTCACCGCAACCTCCGCCTCCCAGGTTCAGGCAATTCTCCTGCCTCAGCCTCCTGAGTAGCTGGGATTACAGGCACGCGCCACCATGCCCAGCTAATGTTTTTGTAGTTTTAGTAGAGACGGGGTTTCACCATGTTGACCAGGATGGTCTCGATCTCTTGACCTCGTGATCCACCCGCCTCGGCCTCCCAAAGTGCTGGGATTACAGGCTTGAGCCACCGCGCCCGGTAGAGTTTTCTTTCTCTTCCCTTTTTCCTTTCTTTTCTTTCTCTTCTCTTTGCTTTTTCTTTTCTTTCTGTCTCTTCTCTTTCTCTTTTCTTTTCTCTTTTCGAGACAAGGTCAGTGTCACTCTGTCTCCCAGGCTGGGTGCAGTGGTGAGATCAGAGTTCACTGCAGCCTTGACCTCCTGGGTCAGGCAATCCTCTTGCCTCAGCCACCTAACTAGCTGGGACTACTGGCGCACACCACCACCACACTTGGCTAATTTTTTAATGTTTTTGTAGAGAAGGGGGTCTCGCCATGTTGCCCAGGCTGGTCATGAACTCCTGGGCTCAAGTGATCCTCCTGCCGCAGCCTCCCAAAATGCTGGGGTTAAGGGCGTAAGCCACTGTGAAAAATTTTTTAAAATATTTATTTATTGAGACGGAGTCTTGCTCTGTTGCTAGGCTGGAGTGCAGTGGCACGATCTCAGCTCACCGCCACCTCCACCTCCTGGGTTCAAGCGATTCTCCTGCCTCAGCCTCCTGAGTAGCTGGGACTACAGGCACGCGCCACCATGCCCAGCTAATTTTTGTATTTTTAGTAGAGACAAGGTTTCACCATGTTGGCCAGGATGGTCTCGATCTCCTGACCTCATGATCCACCCGCTCGACCTCCCAAAGTGCTGGGATTACAGGCATGAGCCATCGTGCCCGGCCTATTTTTATGTTTTTAAAGACAAATTCTCACTATGTTGCCTGGGATGGAGTCTAGTGGCTATTCATGGTCACGATCATAGCTCACTGCAGCCTTGAACTTCTGGCCTCAAGTGATCCTCCTGCTTTAGCCTCCCAAGTACTTGGGACTACAGGTGCATGCCACTGCATCCAGCTTGTTCTTCAATAATAATAGAAGTAGTAGTATTAGTATTTGACTTTCTTCTGAAGGATATTTTTGTTAGAAACAAAAGAAGAAAAGAAAAAAATTTAAAACAAAGAAATATATATATATAGATAGATAGAGTCTCACTCTGTTGCCCAGAGTGGAGTGCAGTGGTGTGATCTCAGCTCACTGCAACCTCTGCCTCCTGGGTTCAAGCAATTCTTTGGCCTCAGCCTCCTGAGTAGCTGGGATTACAGGCATGTGCCACCACACCCGGCTAATTTTTGTATTTTCAGTAGAGATAGGGTTTCCCCATGTTGGCCAGGCTGGTCTCCTGACCTCAAGTGATCCGCCCGCTTCACCTCCCAAAGCGGTGAGATTACAGGCAGGAGACAGGGCTCCTTAAATAAATGCATCCTATTTAAATCTTACATCAATCATATAAGACAAAAGATTTTATCCACTGCTCTTTACATTCAAGGAATTAAAGTTCTCAGAGGCGACAAAAGACCAAATTCAGGGTTGAGAAGTTCCAAAGCTAGGCCGGGCGCGGTGGCTCAAGCCTGTAATCCCAGCACTGTGGGAGGCCGAGGCGGGTGGATCACGAGGTCAAGAGATCGAGACCATCCTGGTCAACATGGTGAAACCCCGTCTCTACTAAAAATACAAAAAAAAATTAGCTAGGCATGGTGGCGCGTGTCTGTAGTCCCAGAGACTCAGGAGGCTGGGGCAGGAGAATTGCCTGAACCCAGGAGGCGGAGGCTGCGGTGAGCCGAGATCGCGCCATTGCACTCCAGCCTGGGTAACAAGAGCGAAACTCCGTCTCAAAAAAAAAAAAAAAAAAAAAAAAAAAAACGGAAGTTCCAAAGCTGAGTTGATTTGCAAATGAATCACCCCAGAACCACCTTCGCTTTCTAGCGACCCTAGCACCTGGGAACAAACCTCTATGGTTTAAGGGCTCCAACCCATAACCCAATTCCTTTGGCAGGAAACAGCACCCTCCCAAGGCCCCGCTCCTTTCCGGTCCCGCCCCGCCCCGCCCCGTCCTCTCCGCTTCTCTGGGCCCCGCTTCTAGAGACGCGCTTTTTTGTTTTTTTGTTTTGGGTTTTGGTTTTTTGTTTTTGAGACGGAGTTTTGCTCTTGTTGCCCAGGCTGGAGTGCAGTAGTGAATTTTGTATTTTTTAGTTTCTCCATGTTGGTCAGGATGGTCTCGAACTCCCGACGTCAGGTGATCCACCCTCCTCGGCTTCCCAAAGTGTTGGGATTATGGCGTAAACCGGCCTCTGGGCGTTGTTATTTGGCCTTCTAGGGGTAACCCGGCCCTTCTCGGGTATCAGCCCCGCCCCTACTCGCCCAGGCTGCGAACTCTCTGCAGCCAATCAGCGCCCGGCAGTTCGTCCCCGCCTTCTCAAACCCCGCCCCATACCTTTAATCCTGGCAGCTTCCGCCAAACGGGCTCAGAGCCACGCAGCACGCCTTGGGTTCTTTTCTCTGGCCTGGTAATCGCTACTCCTGGACAACGGACCACAGCTTTCCGTACTTAGGGGCCCTCATCCCACCCTCCAGACCTAAGAGCCTGGGTCCCCTGGTCCCGCACCTCCACTTCCCGGCCCCCAGATCCTGGCGCCCCAGTCCTGGGTGTCCTAGACCCAGGCACCCGGGATCCCCGCCAACCAGGATCCAGGCGTCCCGGATCTGCGTCTCCAGAACCCAGCCTCCCGCAGACCTCCGCCATCTGGGCGCATTCAACCTCCTGGAGCCAAGGGCCCCACCTCCCAGCCAAAGAAACTTGTATTCCCAGCTCCCAGGGCCAAGGAACCCAGGCGCTCCGAACTCCCAGCTTTCGGGCGCCTGGCACACGGGGCAGAGCAGAGGAGCCCCAGCGCCCAGCCTGGGGAACTTCAGACACTCCGGCTTGAACTCACAATTCTAAGAAACCCTGAAAAGTTCCAGTCTCCAGGTGCTGTTGCTCAACTCTCAATCCTAGGAACGTCGGGTCCTGGGAAGGAGCCCAAGCGCTCCCAGCCAGCTTCCAGGCGTTAAGAAACCCCGGTGCGTCCCATCATGGTGGCGGATCCTCCTCGTGGAGACTCCAAGGGGCTCGCAGCTGCGGAGCCCACCGCCAACGGAGGCCGGACGCTGGTCTCCATCGAGGACCAAGGCGGGGCAGCAGGCGGCTGCTGCGGTTCCCGGGACAAGGTGCGGCGCTGCCTTCGAGCCAACCTGCTGGTCCTGCTGACGGTGGTGGCCGTAGTGGCCGGCGTGGCCCTGGGGCTGGGGGTGTTGGGGGCCGGCGGCACGGCGGCGCTGGGCCCGGAGCGCTTGGGCGCCTTCGTCTTCCCGGGCGAGCTGCTGCTGCGCCTGCTGCGGATGATCATCTTGCCGCTGGTGGTGTGCAGCTTGATCAGCGGCGCCGCCAGCCTGGACCCCAGCGCGCTCGGTCGCCTGGGCGCCTGGGCGCTGCTCTTTTTCCTGGTCACCACGCTGCTGGCGTCCGCGCTCGGAGTGGGCTTGGCGCTGGCGCTGCAGCCGGGCGCCGCCTTCTCCGCCATCAACGCCTCGGTGGGAGCAACGGACAGTGCCGAAAATGCCCCCAGCAAGGAGGTGCTCGATTCGTTCCTGGATCTTGCGAGGTCAGACCCCGCTCGCCCAGGAGGTGGGGAAAGGTGTTAGGGATGGCGGGAGTGGCCACGTAGACAGGACGGGGCTTTGGGGCCCCTAGGGCCGAGATTCCCCTCTAGAGGATTGGGAAAACTCGACAGGATATTGTGGGGAGCTGCAGTCCTTGGGAGTGTGAGTCTAGCCTCCTGGGGAAAGGGATTTCTAAATTCGGGGGCCTGGGTACATAAGTGCGGTCTTATACAGGGAGAAGAAAGTGGTTTGGGGAGACATAGGGTCTGCTTAGAGGAGAAAGACACTGAGGGGAGGGGACCCTGGGAGGAACTTTTGGGGAAGGAATCTTTGTGTGGTCAAGGGCCCCACAATGGGGCTTCTAGATAGAATTTGGGGCCAGGGTTGGCGAGTTTGGGTTTCCTAGGTAAAGAACCCATGGAGGATCTGAGATGTGAGTAACTCCCACCAGGGCCTCCTCCCAGCCCTGGGCGCCCCCACACCACGTGTCACTGGGACATAACCAGGTTCTGTTCTCAGCGTCCGCCTCCCGCCCACTTCAGCTGGGGCCTCGCGGCTTCCCCTTTTTCTTTTGGGTCAGCCCTGCTACCCCCGCCTTTCCCTCCTGTTTCCTCCTCTGTCTGGGCCACCCCTCCCCCAAGCAGGCAGCCCAGAAGAGGACCAGTTAGAAAGGGGAGCAGATACTTTTCTTTCTCCTGGACTCTGCCCTGTGCCCCAAGAATGCCCTCTCCGACTTTGAGGAGGGCAGGGTGGGGGGTGGGCAGAGGCCCCCATGCCCTTGCCTTTAGGGTTTGCTGATTCAGCGTCTCCAGGTTGAGGACTTCCTGGAAGTTGGGGGGAGGAAATGATTAGTCACGGAACAGGGTTTCCCCAGCCCCTGGGCGTCAGTGCGGGCTAAGATGGAAGGCTGCCGCAGCCTTGGTGTCCCGAGTTGCAGCCTGGGGGCACCTTCTGGTGGGGGTAGATTAGCTGGGTCCTGGCCCAGCCCTGGCCAGGCACACCCACTCCGAGGCTGCTGATGAGGACAGGCCTCCTTTCTGTGCCAAAACAACTGTAGCTCACACTTGGCGGCCACACAGGCTTATAACCAAATGACACACAGCCGGACACAGACACTCGGCTGAGGCTGGAACATCCCCACAAACACATGGCCAGGTACCAGCGGTCACACACGTGCTCACTGTGTCCCAAGACCCCTGGAGCACCCCACTCAGTGATGCCACCAGCTGCACATGCTCAGGAGCACACAGCACACTCACACACACACACTTGTGTGGCCACACACCAATACACTCAGGCTGGGGTGTAGTGGTGCAACCTTGGCTCACTGCAACCTCTGCCTCCTGGGTTCAAGTGATTCTCGTGCCTCAGCCTTCTGAGTAGCTGGGATTAAAGGGGTGTGCCGCCACGCCTGGATAATTTTTGTATTTTTAGTAGAGATCGCGTTTCGCCATGTTGGCCAGGCTGGTCTTGAACTTCTGACCGCAAGTGAGCTGCCCACCTCAGCCTCCCAAAGTGCTGGGATTGTGGGCATGAGCCACCGCACCTGGCCAGACTCATGTGTTATTTTACTCTACCGTGACGCGTGGCTGGCTGCCCATGGACACTGTCCCATACGTCTGAACCCTAACCCACACCACAACCCAATAACATGTGACAGATTGTAAATGGACACACGGCATTGGCTGGACATCAGGTCATTGGTGAGAGGGAGAATGCGGAGTGGTTGGGGCTATGGAGCCAGCTGGCTGGGTTCAAATCCCGGCTCTGCCACTTCCCAGCTGGGGGATTTTCTTTACCCTTCTGGTCTTCAGTTTCCTTTTCTGTAAAATGTGGTAATAGTGCTTGTCCCCAAGGCTGTCGTGAGGATGAAATGGGTTAATTCATATAAAGCACAGGCCAAAATGCCTGCCTGCCACACAGTAGGTGCTGTAGATGGCTTAGCTGCTATATATATTTTTGAGACAGGGTCTCACTCTGTCCCAAACTGGAATGCAGTGGTGTGATCTTGGCTCGCTGCAGCCTCAATCTCCTTGGGCTCAAGTGATCCTCCCACCTCAGCCTCTAGAGTAGCTGGAACTACAGGCTACCATGCCTGGCTAATTTTCATACTTTCTGTGGAGACACGGCTTCGCTGTGTTGCCCAGGTTGGTCTTCGACTCCTGGCTCAAGCAGTCTGCCTGCCTTGGCCTCCCAAAGTGCTGGGATTCCAGGCAAGAGCCGGGGTGGCTTGGCCTTAGCTACTATTTTCATCTCAAGGCAGACACTGTCACACCAGAGTAGGAGCAGCCTTGTAAACACAGAAATGCAGATGCATATTCACGAGATGCGAAGCCGTGCTTTGTCCGTCCCCCCCAGTACCACTCCACACTGCCTCTCAACACACCCAGATCCTCCCCCATACCCTCAGAGCCGCAGGCCAGCCCACTGGAGGCCAGCCCTCCTGGAGGAAGTGGCTGATGCAAGCCATCCAAGGTATTAAGTTTGCTGCATGGGGTGGAGCTGAGGCCCCGGGGTGACCTGCCCTGGCCTGCCGTGGGAGGCCAGCATTCCTTACCCTGCTCCCAGCCCACAATGCCTCATGGTTAGCACGCGAGCCTCTTGGGGCTAAAGGCGGCTGCAAAGGGGTGCAGGCTGCGACTTCCCACATCCTGCAAAGGGGTGCAAGCTCAGTTCCAACCCTGCCTGGCTGAGGCATGAGCAGGGGCTGCGTTTGGGTGCAGACAGGGCCCCAAAGCTTCCCCTTACCGCCTTAAAACACAGACCCAGCCCTCAGACATCGCTGCCCTCCACCCACGGTATCTAATAACCCTCTGTACGTCTGTCTTTGCAGAAATATCTTCCCTTCCAACCTGGTGTCGGCAGCCTTCCGCTCAGTGAGTCCTCAGGGGTGTGCTGGGGTGGGGGAGGACAGGGAGACATGCCAGCCAGGGGGAGCCCTTGCCGCCTGACTTTGGGTTCATGCCTAGAAAGATGCATGTGCAATGAGAACATCGGCTTAGAGCCTCCCATGGACTGTAATTCTAGCTGTGTCACCCTGGGCAAATGTGTTGACCTCTCTAAGCCTCAGTTTTCCACCTCTGGAAAATGGGGGTACTGATTGTCCTGCCTCCGTGACAGTCGATGAAATGAGATCACACTGAAGGGATGTGGAAAGGCAGGCTTTGGGCATTGTTAGCTTGGCACGGGGTTGGGGGGCCCTGGTGAAGATGGACACTGACTCTTTCTAACCCCCCTGCAGTATGCTACTACTTCCTACGAAGAGAAAAATATCAATGGAACCCTGGTGAAGGTGAGAGCGGGGGAGGCATTGGGGGCTCTGCCTCTTTGCCCATTGCTATGATGTTTTGGTTTTCTTTCTGCCTCAGTCTTTGCTGTGGAATTTGACGGATGCTTTCTGCGGTCCTTCCCCAGTTTCCGTGTTTTCTGCCTTCTGGATAGGTCTCTACTTTGTCCCCTCTTTTCCCGCCCCAGGCTGATCTTCCTTTCTGGTCCGGGCTCTTTCTTTTTCGCTTTATCCGCCCTGCCCCCCCCATTGTATGCTGCCCATTCCCTGTCCCTTCCCACCCACCCTCAACCTGGCAGCCAGCCAGAGGGTCTTTTTTTTTTTTTTTTCCTGAGACAGGATCTCTCTCCATCATTTAGGCTGGAGTACGGTGGCATGATCCCAGCTCACTGCCGTCTCGACCTCCCAGGCTCAAGTGATTCTTCCCACCTCAGCCTCCCAAGTCGCTGGGATTATACCACACCTGGCTAATTTTTGTATCTCACAGAGGCTGGGTTTCGCCATGTTGCCCAGGCTGGTCTTGAACTCTTGGGCTCAAGTGATCTGCCCAGCTCGGCCTCCCAAAGTGCTGGGATTACAGGCCCGAGGCATTGCACCCTGAGGAGCTTTTCAAAACACAAATGTGACCTTACCTCTCCACTACCCAGAGCCCTGCCATGTGCCCCAGTGCCCTCAGAAGAAAGCCCGGTCTCCTTGCTACAGTCTGTGACCAAGATGTCCCTGTGAGGTCAAACCCTTGCCAGTTCACCCAGCTGCCCAGCCTCAACTAGTGACTCTGCCCAGGTCATTCTTCTCTAGCCACAGTAGATTGTGGCTGTTTGAATGCCCAGGTTGCACTCATTTCTAGGCTGTTGCACATTCTGCTTCCTTTCTCGAGATCCTTCTATCATCCCTCTTTACCTGGTCCACTCCTCCTGTCCTCCAGGTCTCAGCTCAGATGCCCCTTCCTCCAGGAAGTCCCCCCTGACTGCCCCCTTCTCCCCAAGCTGGTACTGCCCTCTCTCAGTTCCCATACTCCCCTGGGCTCCCTTATTCCAGCTCCACCTACTCTGTGCAATCCCTGACAACTGGTATATGTCCCCTGAACCTGAACTGGGAGCCTTGGGAGGAAGGGGCCCAAGGGCTGCCTTATCCTGCTGGGTCCCAGTGATGTCCAGGACAGGCCCTCAGTGACTGCACAGTAGACTGAATGTCCCTTCCACCCCGATCTGTTGCTTGCCTGCAGGTGCCCATGGGGGAGGAGGTGGAAGGCATGAACATCCTGGGCTTGGTAGTGTTTGCCATTGTCTTTGGTGTGGCACTGCGGAAGCTGGGGCCTGAGGGGGAGCTGCTTATCCGCTTCTTCAACTCCTTCAATGAGGCCACCATGGTGCTGGTCTCCTGGATCATGTGGTAGGTGGTACGAGAGGGGGCTGGGGATGGGTGGGGCCGGAGAGTCACTCTGCTGTCAGAGGCAGGCAAGTGGCATTCTGTGTGGAGTGGGGAACCCTCCATTCACTCTTTGGAGCCAGATGGTCTGCATGTAAATCCAGCATTGACCATTCCCTGGCTATGTGATTTTAGGCAAGTAATTTACCCCTCCGCTTCAGTTTCCTCATCTATAAAATGGGAATAGCTCTTTGGAAGGCGGAGGCAGGTGGATCACTTGACGTCAGGAGTTCAAGACCAGCCTCACCAACATGGTGAAACCCCGTCTCTACTAAAAATACAAAAAATTAGCTGGGCGTGGTGGTGCGTGCCTGTAATCCCACTTACTTGGGAGGCTGAGGCACAAGAATCGCTTAAGCCTGGGAGGTGGAGGTTGCAGTGAGCCGAGAGACGGTACCACTGCACTCAAGCCTGGGCCACAGAGGGAAACTCTCTCAAAAAGAAAACAAAAAGCAAATACAGTTCACAGAAGGTATTAGGACAGTGCCCGCTTCTTGTATCCCTTCGGTAAATCCTAATAGCAAATATTTAGTGGGTGTTTTGCTTGTATAACTTCTGGGTACTTCCCACTGGTCAGAACCTGGGAATCTAGCCTTGCCTTTCTGCACAAGTGGCTGGTAAACTATGCATTTCTTTTTCTTTCCTTCTTGAGAACCGAGGCTCGCTCTCTCACCCAGGCTGGAGTACAGTGGCAAAATCTCAGCTCACTGCAACCTCTGCCTCCTGGGTTCAAGTGATTCTCCTGCTTCAGCCTCCAGAGTAGCTGGGACTACAGGCATGTGCCACTACGCCCAGCTAAGTTTTCTATTTTTAGTAGAGATGTGGTTTCACCAGGTTGGCCAGGATGGTCTCGATCTCTTGACCTTGTGATCTGCCTGCCTCGGCCTCCCAAAGTGCTGGGATTACAGGCGTGAGCCACTGTGCCTGGCTGAAACTATGCCTTTTTTTCTGTGACTTACAAGAAGGGACCAAGGACATGACTAGTCAGCGATGGTAGACAGGTGCTCGATGATTGAGTAGTCTAGGGAAGGGATGTTGGGAGGCCTCTTGGCTTGGAGCCATCCCAGGGATCTTCAAGCCAGGAAAGGGTGCTAAAGTAACCCCACCTGAAGTTTATAGATTGCTTATTGTCTGTAAAAAGCGTCAGCTCCCTTCAGCTGGCATCTCATTGCATCCTCCCAGCATTCCTGTGAGAAATCTGTTGGATGTGGTGTAACCGGCAAATGACTCAGAGGACCTCGCTGGGGGGGTGGGGGGGCGGGGGGGGTGTTGGGAAGATTCAGTATCATGTTGAAGCACAGAGCATATCAAAAATGCTTCATACCTGGGAGTTGTTACTAAGACCTGGGCCATGGCCTTTCTAAAATGTGTATTTTAGGCCGGGCGCGGCAGCTCACCCCTGTAATGTCAGCACTTTGGGAGGCCAAGGCAGGTGGATCATGAGGTCAGAAGTTCAAGACCAGCTTGGCCAATGTGGTGAAACCCTATCTCTACTAAAAAAAATACAAAAATTAGCTGGGTGTGGTGGTAGGCGCCTGTAGTCCCAGCTACTCACGAGGCTGAGGCAGGAGAATTGCCTGAACCTGGGAGACAGAGATTGCAGTGAGCCAAGATCATACCACTGCACTCCAGCCTGGGTGACAAAGCAAGACTCCGTGTCAGAAAAAAAGAAAAAAGAAAAAAAATAGAGCGAGAGAGAGACATGTTCCCCAGGCTGGTCTTGAACTCCTGGGCTCAAGCGATCTGTCTGCCTCTGCCTCCCTACATGCTGGGATTACAAGCATGAGCCACTGTGCCCAGCCTATTTTTATTTTTTGTAGAGATGAGGTCTTGTTATGTTGCCCAAGCTGGTCTCGAGAACTCCTGACCTCAAGTAATCCTCCTGCTTTGGCCTCCTAAAGTGCTGGGATTATAGGCATGAGCCACGATGCCCGGCCTCTTTTTATCTTTCATCATCTGCAGAGAACGTATTGGTTCATGCTTCAAGTCATGCTGGCTGCCATAGTGAACGGTATGTGAATGGCACACATTGATGGACACTTCTTTTTTTTTTTTTTTTTTTTTTTTTGAGACGGAGTTTCGCTCTTGTTACCCAGGCTGGAGTGCAATGGCATGATCTCGGCTCACCGCAACCTCCGCCTCCTGGGTTCAGGCAATTCTCCTGCCTCAGCCTCCTGAGTAGCTGGGATTACAGGCACGCGCCACCATGCCCAGCTAGTTTTTTGTATTTTTAGTGGAGACGGGGTTTCACCATGTTGACCAGGATGGTCTTGATCTCTTGACCTCGTGATCCACCTGCCTCGGCCTCCCAAAGTGCTGGGATTACAGGCTTGAGCCACCGCACACGGCCAATGGACACTTCTTTCTGGCTCTTGTGAAGCCCAAATCTGGTGGCTACTGCTTCACATGGTGATGGCAGCACCGAGGCTTGCTTTTTTTTTTTTTTTTTTTTTGAGACAGAATCTTGCTCTCTTGTCAGGCTGGAGTACAGTGGTGTGATCTTGGCTCACTGCAACTTCTACCTCCTGGGTTCAAGCAATTCTCCTGCCTCAGCCTCCAGAGTAGCTGGACTTCAGGCGCGTGCCAGCATGCCCAGCTAATTTTTGTATTTTTAGTAGAGACGGAGTTTCACCACGTTGGCCAGGCTGGTCTTGGTATCCTGACTTCAAGTGATCTGCCTGCCTCGGCCCCCCAAAGTGCTGGGATTACAGGTGTGAGCCGCCATGCATGGCCACACTAAGGCTTTTATCTTCCGGGCTGTTCTACCTTTGAGGGGAGAAAGAACATGAGGTTGGCACAGGGGCTTCAGGGGCCAGGCCTGGGAGTGGTGCCCACGCTGAAGCACACGTTGCTGAGTCTCCTCTTGAGCTGAGGAAGGCGGGAAGATGTGGGCAGGGTCCTGAGCCTCACGCCTGGCTACTGGGCCCGTGGCAGAGCCGACAAGCTGTCTCCTGTGTTACTGATCAGGTACGCCCCTGTGGGCATCATGTTCCTCGTGGCCGGCAAGATCGTGGAGATGGAGGACGTGGGTTTACTCTTTGCCAGCCTTGGCAAGTACATCCTGTGCTGCCTGCTGGGCCATGCCATCCATGGACTCCTAGTACTGCCCCTCATCTACTTCCTCTTCACCCGCAAAAACCCCTACCGCTTCCTGTGGGGCATTGTGACGCCGCTGGCCACTGCCTTTGGGACCTCCTCCAGGTACGGCCTTGGGGTGGGCTAGGCGGGATGTCTGAGCTAAGGGGCAGGAGTGGATGAAATTTCCTGTGCCGGGGACATTGGATCTGGGTACAGAGGCCATAATTAGGAGAGTCTCATAAGGCCCTGGATTTCTCCCCACCCTTAAAAAAAGAGGAAATGATTGCCCTAGAGATTTACTGCCCAATTCCGTACACTCTCTCCTCATGGACCTGGGGGCACTCTTTTTTTTTTCTTTTTTTTTGAGACGGAGTCTTGCTCTGTTGCCCAGGCTGGAGTGCAATGGCATGATCTCGGCTCACTGCAACCTCCATCTCCTGGGTTCAAGGAGTTCTCCTGCCTCAGCCTCCCGAGTAGCTGGAATTACAGGCGCATGCCACCATGCCCAGCTAATTTTTGTATTTTGGTAGGGACGGGGTTTCACCATGTTGGCCAGCCTGGTCTCATCTCCTGACCTTGTGATCCGCCCACCTCGGCCTCCCAAAGTGCTGGGATTACAGGTGTGAGCCACCGCGCCTGGCTATTTTTCTTTTCTTTTTATTTTTTTAATGATGGAATCTGGCTCTGTTGCCTAGGCTGGAGTGTAGTGGTATGATCTTGGCTCACTGCAACCTCTGCCTCCCAGGTTCAAGTGATTCTATGCCTTAGCCTCTCAAGTAGCTGGAACAACAGCTAATTTTTATATTTTTAGTAGAGATGGGGTTTCGCCATGCTGGCCAGGCAGGTCTCAAACTCCTGGCCTCAGGTGATCCACCTGCCTCAGCCTCCCAAAGTGCTGGGATTGCAGGTGTGAGCCACCATGCCCGGCCCCTGGGTTCTTAAGTTCCGCTCTGATCCAGCCTCGGAGCTCCTTCCACCCTCTCTCCTGGGCGTTTCATTCATGTCTGCCGGCCCTGTTCCCTTAGAACCCGAACTTCCAAGACAATAATAATTCTTAGTGTATCATTAGTGTATTGTTTGGATCCAGCAGGACCCAGACGTTAGAATTTAGGTGTGACTTGTGTGGATATTTTGGGGGGCGGCAGTCTATACTCTCCCAGGGGTTCCATTTTGTAATCCCGGTATTGAGTTCCCTAGTGCTGCCTGCTTGTGGGAAAAGAACCTAGATACAGCAAGAGAGGGCTGGGGGCGGAGCCTGGACATCGTAGAAGATAAAGGGGGTCTAGGTTAGAGGGAAGGGCTTTGGACCAGGGGACGGCTGGGAAGGTGGGTAGGGTTTCCGCTGGGCAGGTGGTGTGGACAGGCTCTGAGTAGGCGGGGCTTTGGCTGGGCAGGTTGTGTGGGCGGGATCTGGGTGGACGGGGCTACTGCTGGGTGGGTGGTGCAGGTCAGACCTGGAGGGTGGGCAGTCTTTGGCTGGTTGCGTGAAGCGGGATCTGGTGGGGATCCACCAGGTGGGGTGGGTGGAGCTTTGGCTGGTTGGGGTGGAGTGGGCGGGGCTTTACCTGGGCTGGACCTGGAGGGTGGACTGAGCCCGTCAGCCAGTTGACCTAACTCAGCTCCCCTGTCCCTTGCAGTTCCGCCACGCTGCCTCTGATGATGAAGTGCGTGGAGGAGAATAACGGCGTGGCCAAGCACATCAGCCGCTTCATCCTGCCCATTGGCGCCACCGTCAACATGGACGGTGCCGCGCTCTTCCAGTGCGTGGCCGCCGTGTTCATTGCGCAGCTCAGCCAGCAGTCCTTGGACTTCGTAAAGATCATCACCATCCTGTGAGTGCCAGGGAGGCAGCAGATGGGACCCCCGGACCCCAGCTGACCCCCATCTTCTCCCGCAACGGAGGCGTCAGCCTAACCTCCCACCTTCTCCCTCAGAATCACAGCCACAGCGTCCAGCGTGGGGGCGGCGGGCATCCCCGCTGGAGGTGTCCTCACTCTGGCCATCATCCTCGAAGCCGTCAACCTCCCGGTCGTCCATATCTCCTTGATCCTGGCTGTGGACTGGCTAGTGTGAGTGTGGGTCTGGGGACTGCGGCAGGGGCCAGGGGTACCCCTGGGAAAGAGGATGAGTGAGTGTGAGTCCTTAGAGCCTCTGGACAGAAGAGGAGGAAAGGAAGGAAGGAATTCTGGAGGAAATGGGAACCTTGAGCATTCCTGAGCGCAAGGAATGGCATCTTTGCGGCTCTAAGAGGAATGTCAGAAAAGTAGGGAGTCTGTGTGGTGAATACAGTAGACTCTTCCGCCGGACTGCTCAGGTTCACATCCCGGCGCCACCATTCGCTGTTATGACCTCGGGGAATGCTTAATCTCCCTGTGTCTCAGCTTCTCCATCTGTAAAACGGGGAGAAGAAGGGTCTCTCCCTAAGGATTAGATAACAGACACACCTCCTTTAGAGCAGCCCCCAGTAATTAGTGATTGCCACATAATTATTTGCTGTCATGATTAAGCTGCTAAGGGTATAAAGATTGGACCAGGCGCGGTGGCGCGTGCCTGTAGTCCCAGCTACTCGGGAGGCTGAGGCTGGAGAATCGCTTGAGTCCAGGAGTTCTGGGCTGTCATGCGCTATGCCAAACAGGTGTCCGCACTAAGTTCAGCATCAATATGGTGACCTCCTGGGAGCAGGGGACCAGGTTGCCTAAGGGGAGGGGTGAACCGGCCCAGGTCGGAAATGGAGCAGGTGGAAACTCCCGTGCTGATCAGTAGTGGGATCTTGCCACTGCACTCCAGCCTGGGCAACCAGGCGAGGCCCCATCTCTAAAAAAAAAAAAAAAAAGCAGCATGAAGATTGGAAAGCAGCCAGGCACAGTGGCTAATGCCTGTAATTCCTGCATTTTGGGAGGCCTAGGAGGGTGGATCATTTGAGGTTAGGAGTTTGAGACTAACCTGACCAACATAGGTGAAATCCCATCTCCACTACTCAGGGGGCTGGGGCAGGAGAATTGCTTGAACCCAGGAGGCGGAGGTTGCAGTGAGCCGAGATTGTGCTACTGTACTCCAGCCTGGGCAACAGTGAGACCCCGTCTCAAAAATAAATAAATAAATAAAAATAAATCTGGGATTAATGATTGGCCATGGTTGCACAAGTCTGAATATACTAAAAAATACCAAGATGGACACTTTTAAAAGGTTAATTTATGGTATGTGAATTATAGTTTGATTTTGTTTTGAGACGGTCTCACTCTGTGGCCCAGGCTGGAGGGTAGTGACGTCATCATGGTTGTGATCATTGCAGCCTCCACCTCCCAGGCTCAAGCGATCCTCCTGCCTCAGCCTCCTGAGTAGCTGGGACTCTAGGCATGCACTATCATGCCTGGCTAATTTTTTTTTTTTTTTTTTAAGACGGGGTTTCACTATGTTGGTCAGGCTGGTCTTGAACTCCTGACCTCAGGTGATCCGCCGGCCTTGGCCTCCAAAGTGCTTGGATTACAGGCATGAGCCGCCACGCCCAGCCATTTTTTTTTTTTTAATCTATCTAGAGATGGGATCTCACTATATTGCCCAGGCTGACTCCCAACTCTTAATTTTTTCTTTTTAGATTCCAGGGGGAGAAGGGCAGGAGGCTTAGCCCCTTTCCTTCCCTCTCCCCCTCTCCCCTTCTCCCCTCCTCCCCTCCCACTTACTCTGCTGTCATTTCTACCCCTCTAGGGACCGATCCTGTACCGTCCTGAATGTAGAAGGTGATGCTCTGGGGGCAGGACTCCTCCAAAATTACGTGGACCACACGGAGTTGAGAAGCACAGAGCCTGAGCTGATACAAGTGAAAAGTGAGCTGCCCTTGAATCCACTGCCAGCCCCCACTGAGGAAGGGAACCCCCTCCTCAAACACTATCGGGGGCCCTCAGGAGATGCCACAGCCGCCTCTGAGAAGGAATCGGTCATGTAAACCCCGGGAGGGACCTTCCCTGCCCTGCTGGGGCGCTCATTGGACATTGGATTATGAGGAATGGATAAATGGATGAACTAAGGCTCTGGGGGCCTGCCTGCACACTCTGGGGTGCCAGGGGCCCCAGCCCCCTCCAGGACAGGAGATCTGGGATGCCTGGCTGCTGGAGTACATGTGTTCACAAGGGTTACTCCCCCAAACCCCTAGTTCTCACTTGTCCCCAACTCAAGTCTAAGTAATAGCAAGATGGAGAAATAATGGCCTCCTGCCTCCTCACCACGATCTGCCTGGCCTTCCGTGTCTAAGAGAGCAGGTCACAGGTCACCATGGGGAATTCTAGCCCCCACCGGGGGGATGCTCCAACACCATGCTGGTGATTTTGGTGGTTGTAGTGTGTGTGTGTGTGTGTGTGTGTGTGTGTGTGTGTGTGTGTGTGTGTATCGGTGGGGTGTGTTCCGCGACCTCCCATCTCCATGGTACGTACCACCCTGTCCCCAGATCCCCTATTCCCCCCACAATAACAAACACTCCCAATGACTCTGGCGAGAGAGTGAGGACAGAAAACTGCTGTCACTCCAGAAGACAATTTTTTATCAATAAAATTGAGTGTCAACTATTTAATCAGGTGTTCTTCAGAATTTGACTTAAAGCATTAGCCGCTGCAAGGACAATATCTGCTCATCAAGAAACACCCCTGGGCTGGGCGTGGGGGCTCATGCCTGTCATCCCAGCACTTTGAGATCGTGCGGGGCCAGTCGAGTTCAAGACAAGCCTCAGCAACATTCGGAAATGAAGGCCGGGCACAGTGGCTCACGCCTGTAATCCCAGCACTTTCGGAGGCCGAGGGGAGCGGATTACAAGGTCAGTAGTTCGAGACCAGCTTGGCCAAGATGGTAAAACCCCATCTCTAATAAAAATACAAAAATTAGCCAGGCGTGGTGGTGAGCGCCTATAATCCCAGCTGCTCAGGAGGCTGAGGCAGGAGAATCGCTTGAACCCAAGAGGTGGAGGTTGCAGTGAGCCAAGATTGCGACACTGCACTCTAACCTGTGTAACAGAGCAAGACTCTGTCTCTCTTTTATTTTTTATATTTTTTTGGGAGGGTCTCTCTTTTTTTTTTTTTGGGACGGAGTTTCGCTCTTGTTACCCCCAGGCTGGAGTGCAATGGCGCGATCTCGGCTCACCGCAACCTCCGCCTCCTGGGTTCAGGCAATTCTCCTGCCTCAGCCTCCTGAGTAGCTGGGACTACAGGCACGCGCCACCATGCCCAGCTAATTTTTTGTAGTTTTAGTAGAGACGGGGTTTCACCATGTTGACCAGGATGGTCTCGATCTCTTGACCTTGTGATCCACCCGCCTCGGCCTCCCAAAGTGCTGGGATTACAGGCTTGAGCCACCGCGCCCGGCCCGGGTCTCTCTTTTTTTAAAAATATATTTTTATTTCTTTTCATGCTCCCTCTCCACCTCCTCCCAAGACTCTGTCTCAAAAATAACAACAAAATTTGTACAACTCATGGTAACATTTTTCCCCATTGTGACCACCTACGTAGGAATGCAGGCATCCCTTCATATCCCGACTCTCATCCAAATTGTCCCAATAGTGATTTTTTTTGGAAACCCCAAAATTGCTACTTGCATAAAAACCCGCCCTGCAACTGTTTTACATCCTGTGTAAGTTCAGAATATGGACGATGCTGGCCAGGCACGGTGGCCCACACCCCTTAACCCAGCATGTTGAGAGGCTGAGGCGGGCGGATCAGCTGAGGTCAGGGGTTTGAGACTAGCCTGACCAACATGGTGAAACCCCGTCTCTATGAAAAATACAAAAGTTAGCTGGGTGTAGTGGGGGGCACCTGGAATCCCAGCTACTTAGGAGGTGGAGGCAGGAGAACCGCTCCAGGAGGCGGAGGCTGCGGTGAGCCGCAATCGCACCGTTGCACTCCAGCCTGGGCGACGGAGTTAGACCCTGTCTCAAAAACAAAAGAAACAAACAAACAGAAAGGACTATACCACTGTTGCGTCTCACCTGTTCTTCTGAGACAGGGTCTCTTGCTCAAGCGGAGCGCAGTGGTGCTATCACGGCTCACTGCTGCCTTGACTTCCTGGGCTCAAGCAGTTCTGCGTCAGCCTCCTGACTGGCTGGAACTACAGGTGCACACCACCACCACCGCTAATTATTATTATTATTATTATTATTTTGAGACAAGGTTTTGCTCTTGTTACCCAGGCTGGAGTGCAATAGCACGACCTCAGCTCACTGCAACCTCCGCCTCCCGAGTTCAAGTGATTCTCCCGCCTCAGCCTCCTGAGTAGCTGGGATCACAGGCGTGCGCCACCACACCCGGCCAATTTTGTATTTTTAGAGAGATGGGGTTTCTCCGGTTGATCAGGCTGGTCTTGAACTCTCGACCTCAGGTGATTTGCCTGCCTTGGCCTCCCAAAGTGCTGGGATTGCAGGTGGGGGCCACCATGCCCGGCCTCTGATTTTTATTTGTAGAGATGGGGTCTCACCAAGTCAGGCTGGTCTCAAACTTCTGGACTCAAGTGATCCTGCCACCTCGGCTTTGCAAAGTGCTAGGATTACAGGTGTGTGCCCCTGCGCCCTGCCCTACTTCTCATCTGTTCTAACATGTTAGGCGTTGTTGATATCTTCCGATTCTCCACAGCCCCTGTGTTGACTTTGGCGAGCTGCCTGGAGGCACCACTGACCTGGGTCCAATTATAGATGGTATCTTTAGTATCTTTTCGTTTGTTTGCTTAGTTAACACCCCATGATCATTGCACTGTGAAGGACAATGGAATTTTTTTTTTTGAGACAGAGTTTTGCTCTTATTGCCCAGGCTGGAGTGCAGTGGTGCGATCTCGGCTCACTGCAACCTCTACCTCATGGGTTCAAGCGATTCTCCTGCCTCAGCCTCCTGAGTAGCTGGGATTACAGGCGCCTGACACCACACCCAGTAATTTTTTGTATTTTTAGTGCAGACAAGGTTTCCTCATGTTGGCCAGGCTGGTCTCGAACTCCTGACCTCAGGTGATCCACCCACCTTGGCCTTCCAAAGTGCTGAGATTACAGGAGTGAGTGACTGCATCTGGCTTCAAACTTTTTTTTTTTTTTTTTCAGTCGAAGTCTTGCTCTGTCACCCAGGCTGGAGTGCAGTGGCACAATCTTGGCTCAACGTAAGCTCTGCCTCCCAGGTTCAAGCCATTCTGCCTCAGATTTCCAAGTAGCTGGGACTACAGGCATGCACTACCACACCCAGCTAATTTTGGTATTTTTTAGTAGAGATGGGGTTTCACCATGTAGGCCAGGCTGGTCTTGAACTCCTGACCTCAGGTGATCCACTGGCCTTGGCCTCCCAGAGTGTTCGGACTACAGATGTGAGCCACTGCACCTGGCAACTGTTGCATTTTTAATAGAGACGTGGTTTTACCATGTTGGCCAGGCTGGTCTCGAACTCCTGACCTCAGGTGATCCACCTCCATGTCCCAAAATGCTGGGATTACAGGTGTGAGCCACCACTGTGCCTGACCATGCCCAGCTATTTTTATTAGAAAAGTTTGTTTGTAAAGAGGGGAAGGGATCTCACTATGTTGCCCAGGCTGGTCTTGAACTCCCAGGCCAAAGTGTTGAAGTGTTGGGATTACAGGCGTGAGCCACTGCACTCAGTGTCAAATACGTTTTAAAATTAGTGGCTGGGTGCAGTAGCTCGTGCCTGTAATCCCAGCACTGTGTGAGGCCCAGGCAGGTGGATCATCTCAGGTCAGTAGTTTAAGACCAGCTTGACCAACATAGAGGAACCCCATCTCTACTAAAACTACAAAAAAATTAGCTGGGCATTTGTAGTTTCAGCGACTCAGGAGGCCGAGGTGGGAGAATCGCTTGAGCCCAGGAGGCGGAGGTTGCAGTAAGTGGAGGTCTTGCCACTGCACTCCATGCTGGGACAGTGAGGCTCTGTCTTAAAACAAGCAAGCAAGCAGTGGACTGTCATTAAAATGAAATCTATGCAAATCCTGTGTGAAAGATGAAAATGGTGGGCTGGGCGCCCCCCTCTGCCACCTCCAAATTCTGGAGCTTGGATCTGGAACCCACCAATGTGGACCCTGCGGGTCTCAAACCCCTGAGCTCAAGCAATTCTCCCACCTCCACCTCCCAAAGTAATGGGATTATAGGTAAACCACCACACCAGGCCTGTTCTACATTTTTTTTTTTTTTTTTTTTAAGGCAGGGTCTCACACTGTTGTCGAGGCTGGATTGCAGTTTCATGATGATGGCTCATTTCAGCTTTGACCTCCCAGGCTCAAGTGATCCTGCCACCTCAGCCTCCTAAGTAGCTGGGACTACAGGCCCGTGGCACCATGCCGAGCTATTTTTTTTTCCTTAAGTTTTTTGTAGTGACAGGGTCTCTGTACGTTGTCCAGGCTGATTTTGAACTCCTGGGCTGAAGGGAGTTCACCTACATCCCCAAAGTGTTGGGATTACAGGTGTGAGCCACCGGCCGGCCCTGTTCTCCTTTTTCAATAGCCACGGTCCCCTCCCAACAGGCTATAGCATTCACTGGTTTATGATGTTTATTGTGTCCTGCCTGTCCCCACTGGGAAGGTCACTCCGTGGGGGAACCATCTTTGAATTGTTCACTGCTGTATGCTCAGAGCCTAGCACAGCGGCTGGTGCATGCGTATAGCACATGCTCAATAAACACTGGTGGAATGGTGGAAGAGGCTGGTTCATTCCTGATTCTGCTCCCTGGCAACTATGTGACCTTGGGCCTCACCCACTGGTGACAATGGCTCTGTTATGCCTCACCCAAAGGCTGCTGGTGCGGGTTACATAAGAGCAGGAGAAAAAACACTTTGATGGGCATTCCCTGGGTCCCAGTTCCCAGCTTCTGTCTTCTCTCCCTTTCCCCACTGCCCCTCCCACCCCTCATGCCTCTCTAAAGGAACTTGACCTGGGAAGAAGAGCCCAGGCTGGCCCGGGATTGGGGTTGGTCCTGGGTTCTAGGCTCAGAGTGGCAGTATGGGGACAGAAAGGCAGAGGGCAACCACTCAGTTTTGTCTCTCTTAGAGACAGGTCCATGTTCTTAGGCCTATTATTCTGCCTCCCTTCTGCTCTTTCTGAGGCCAACCCTATTGAGGTGTAATTTACATACAATCAGTCCGCGAGGTGGCTCACGCCTGTAATCCCAGCACTTTGGGAGGCCAAAGCAGATCATTTGAGGCCAGGAGTTCAAGGCCAGCCTGGCCAACATGGTGCAACTCTGTCTCCACTATCAATACAAAAATTAGCCAGGTATGGTGGTGCACACCTGTAATCCCAGCTACTCAGGTGGCTGAGACATGAGAATCATTTGAATCCAGGAGGTGGAGGTTGCAGTGAGCCAAGATTGCACCACTGCACTCCAGCCTGGGCAACAGAGTGAGACTCTGTCTCAAGAAGAAAATTTTTCATATGATAAATTGTACCCATTAAAGTCAATTAGGCCAGGCTCAGTGGCTCACGCCTGGGATCTCAGCACTTTGAGAAGCTGAGGCAGAAGGATCGCTTGAGCTCAGGAGTTTGAGACCAGCCTGGGCAACACTGGGAGACCCTGTCTCAAAAAAAAAAAGAAAAGGAAAAGAAAG